TTTTTTTTTTTTTTTTTTTTTTTTACATCAGGATGTTAAATCTCCAGAAACCCCTGTGCTGCAATTTCTTCCCAGCATCCGCTCAGGTGGTTTTGCTGATATTGGCCCACGGAGATACATGGAAGACGAACACATACGGATAGATGATCTATCTGCACACTTGGGATCGCTCGTCTGCTTTCCTGAACCAAGTGCCTTCTATGGGGTGAGTCTTCTCTTTCTTTCCCTGTCTCGATTTTCATCACAACATAATTAATATGATTATGATTGGTTTAATTATGTAATCTATAAATAATTTGTTTAGGTGTTTGATGGCCACGGTGGACCTGAAGCAGCATCCTTCGTGAGAAGGAACGCAATCAGATTCTTTTTGGAAGATGTTAATTTCCCAAATACATGTGAAATTAATGATGCATTTCTGATGGAGGTCGAAAATTGCCTGAGAAAAGGATATCTTTTAGCCGACATGGCTTTGGCCGATGACAGCACCGTGAGTAGTTCTTCTGGAACAACTGCTCTGACAGCTCTTGTTATTGGCAGGTAAAGCCTCATTCACGACCACTAAATAGTGGAAAGTTATATAAACTACCCCTGAAATATAGCCTAATTATAATTTTGACATGATAACAGGCTCCTAATGGTTGCCAATGTGGGAGACTGCCGAGCTGTCCTATGCCGTAAAGGGCACGCAATCAACATGTCCCAAGACCACAGGCCGAACCACTTGGCCGAGAGGCAGCGGGTCGAAGAGCTTGGCGGGTTCATAGACGATGGGTACCTAAACGGGGTCCTCTCGGTCACTCGGGCCCTAGGTGACTGGGACATGAAGCTGCCTCGAGGCTCGGCCTCTCCTCTGATTGCCGAGCCCGAGTTTCGACAGGTCACCCTCACGGAGGACGATGAGTTTCTCATAATTGGGTGTGACGGTATATGGGACGTTATGTCTAGTCAGCAGGCGGTGAGCCTCGTCCGGCGAGGTCTCAGGCGGCATGATGACCCTGAGCAGTGTGCCAAGGATCTTGTCATGGAGGCTCTTCGCCTCAATACTTTTGATAATCTGACTGTCATTATCGTTTGTTTTGGTACTGTTGATCAGATAGAGCCAATGGGGTCTGTAGCTGCCCGGCAGAGGCGGCTGAGGTGTTGCAGCCTGTCGGCTGAGGCTCTGTGCAGCTTGCGGAGCTTCTTGGAGGGTGGCCGGTGATTGTTTTTTATTTTTTTGGTGAGCAATTTTATTTTGAGAAGGTTCAGTTGAAGGAGTTGGAGAAATTATGCGTATGGTGGTAGTTTTGTTTTTTCTAGATTGTGGTGTGGTGTGGTGTGGTGTGGTGTGGTGAGGGGAGGGTATTGGGGTGGCTGTGTGCATAGTAATTGGTTGGTAGGTGTAATTTGACTGATGTGTAATTTAGTGCTGATAGTGAAATATGGTCTCTATTGGTGTAGTTCAGATGTGTTTCGACAGTGTAAGATGAATAAAAGCATTTTCTTTCATGTGGTTTTTGTGTCTAGTTTTTCAATTGATAATCTATGGCTGCATATGGTAAGAAGTAAGAACAATGCGAGATCTTATTTTATAAGTAACCAATCAAATCAGCATCAGCCATTGCAGAAAGAAATTAAATAGACAAAGTATAGTGAGGCTTGATCTTGAATGTGACAACTGATGCATCATTTCAAAAAGTTTTGAAGGGATGAATGTAATAATGTTTGCTGGTTGCATGGCTAGAACTTCAATTAAATGCTTAAAAAAAATTGATCTTTAACCAAATCAAATTATTAAATCTTTTGAAATAATCCGAACATGACCAAAAAATGATCAGAAGGGAAACCCTTTATTTGACACCTTCTTTGAAGACTCTGCTAGCCGCCCAACACATTTTGCATTTCTATACTCTGCCATCAACTCTTCAACCACACTCTCCGGGTGACAGGTAATAAAAGCCGAGATGAACCTTTTTTCGGACATCCTCACTGCCCTCAACAGCGACGGCCCTTTAACCTCAGGAGAAAGACCCATATCCTCTATCTTACATGCGACCCTGAATCGTGGTCTCAACACACTCTCCAAACTAAGATACAACAAGAACGGGCTCTGAAGCAAGACACTTGCCGGAAGCTTCATGGTGGCCAGTATAAAAGTCATGTGCCGTTGGACATTATCAACAGACAAAGTTAACCAGAAAGGGGACCGCCCAATGAGCCCGTAAACCTTATCCTCCGGAAGCCCGTACTTCTCCAAATTCACAACTTTTTCCCTAATGGTCTCGATTCGGGATATGCCTAATAAGGATACTACGTGTTTGTACATTTTCGAGTCTTTTGAGACCCCGGTTTTGCGAATGCACTCTATCTTTTCTTCGTCAAATGTGGTGCGAGGGATCAAAGTAGGCCGTGACAAGAGCATGAACATCAAGTCTTCTCTGCTAAGGCCCAAGGACTCATACATGGCAACAGCCGGTTTCATCTTGTTATGAAAGTCATAAGTGAGTAGTGAAGGGTTTCGGACAAGAGCTTTGGCGAGGACCTGCCGGGAGCCGAACAGGGATTCGAGATACTCGACGCGCTCGTTGAGCATGATGTTGATCTTCCAGTTGAGAAGGCGGGGCCTGCAGTGGATCATCTTCACGAGGTCACTGCATTCGATGCCTAGTTCGGAGAGGATTTGGAGCTTGGATTGAAGGACGTGAATATCGGTTTTACGGAGAGACGGGCGCCGCTCGAAAATTCTAGAGATGTCGATCTCCGTGCAACCCCATTTTTTTAAAACGTTAGTCGGGTCCTGCCTTCGTTCTTTGTCCGGTGTTGGTTTTTTTACCCGATCAGGTGATTCTGTATGTTTGTGTAGGCATTCAACGGAAGGACTAGCCGCGGAATGGAAAAGACAAGGCTTTTGGAAATG